AAATTAAATAAACATCTTAAATTATTTTCTCTTAAAGAGAAGTTTTTTAATTATTTTTAAATAAAAATTTATTATTATTATTATTAAATTTTAGTATAATTATCATCAGAATATTAAACTTTTTATCAATAAAATATGAATTTTTTAAAAAAATTTTATACATAATATAAAGCTATAACAACGCATAATATTCACGTATAAAATATAAACGTTTTTCTGTAAAATTATTCATATTCCTGTTAAATAATTTAGTAAAAACGTTAAAAATTTGATTGCAGAAACGTTAATACACTGTTAGAAATGATCATTATGATAATTTTTTTAAAATAAATGAAGGAGAAATGAAAAAAAAAGAAAAGAAAATGTATTATCTCATCCAACGAAACCAAGTTGATGATCTTATCTGGGAGCATTACATTGATAATAAAAGTGGAAGTCATTTCTAGGAATCAGTAAAAATTACAATTTTTAAAAGATTATATGATTCATAAGTTCGATACGTCAGAAATGCTTGGAAAAAAAAAAAATTCAACAAAATTCCTTCTTCAAACCTTAATGCATTTCTTGACATTCTCTTTTAACGTTATACAATATTAAATTGCCTAGAATCATATTTTCGAATTTAAATTTATAACTTTATCTCATCACTTTAATGAAATTTTATAGTGTTATATTAAACAGCACATTTTCTTATGCTACTGAAAGAAAAACGGTGATATTATACTTGTAATTATGTCGAGGAATTAATAATGACTTCAAATAACTTTTTTTTTTTAAGTTTAGGATAAGTTGTAATATTTTAATAAAAAATTTATAGGGTGAAACTTGTTTAAAAAGGAAACCTGCCTAAACGGGAAAAATATTCGGTACAGTACGAGTACCGTTTACAGAGGTTTTGATATATATATATATATAGGCGTATACTTAACGAATAAAACTAAGAATAGAAGGTATACTTGAAATATTCTTTAATAAATCTATATTAGTCAATTATTTGTAGTAGGGAATAAAAAGTATTTTGATAAATAGTATACTTTACAGCCTACGCCACAGGATATTAAAAGCATTTTTTATTAAAACTCAATCATGGTTTTTTTTCAAATTAAGAATTTAAAAACAAGACTGAGCTTTTAAATTAAAATGCAAAACTAAATTCAAAATTATTTTAGTATAAATTTCTTAGAAATTAATAAAAACAAAATATATAATTTTACAATTTTTTTTTCCTTTAAACTTCAATAAAAATTCTATAGAAGATACAGTTTTAACCTTTGAACAACGACCACAAAATTATTATTATTATTATTATTTATAATTAATTTAAAATCTTCATTTAATTA